GGCGTGGAAGCTGTTCTACCGCTCGAAAGTCAAATCCCCTCGCTAAGGATGGCTCTACAAGAAGGCTTGACTGACGAAGAGAATGCAAAATTGCGCCTTCAAGAGCTGGAAGCCCTGGATGAGAAAAGACTTGAAGCCCAGCAACACTTGGAGTGTTATCAAGCACGACTCTCCAAGGCCTTCAACAAGAAAGTTTTCCCTCGTTCTTTTCAAATTGGAGATCTCGTCCTTTCATTGCGTATGCCTATCATCATAACTCACAAGACAAAGAGCAAGTTCACGTCAAAATGGGATGGACCATACGTAATACAAGAAGTTTACACCAATGGTGCCTACTTAATCATGGCGGAAGACGGCTTGAAGATCGGCCCTATCAATGGCAGATTCTTGGAGCGCTACTACCCCTGAAAGGCGACAACTCATGCTCTTTGTTCGCACGAGCCTAAACTGCATGAATCAAAGCTCCTGGCCCGCAAGAGCATAAACTGTGTACGGCAAAATCATCATCAAAATTACTGTTAAATTCATCACTCATTTGAACTACGTTATGGCTTGATCTCTTCTTTGGAAGGGTACGTAGGCGGCTCGAACATTCAATTTCGAGTTCAGTCATATCAAAATAAAAATAAAATATAAAAGTTTTATTAAAGAAAGTCAATTTTATTACAAAAGAATAAATAAATAAATACATATGTTATTATGTATTTACAAAAAAAATAAAAACAAAACAAAACAAATGCATTGAGAGAAATAAAGTCCGTTTTTTATTTATTTTTTCTGGAAATTTTACATAAATTTGCATTATACATACTTAAAAAAAACAAAAAAAAAATCAAATCAAATTTACAAGAGGGGATCTTCAAGGACGATCAGGTGCCGCCTCACCACTCGGCAGAGCTCCAGAAATGAGAGGCGTCGGAGGTTGACTGTTTGAAGCCACATCACTCGGCGGAACTCTAGGAAGAAGAGGAGCCAAAGGTTGATCATTTGGAGCTTCATTACGCGGTACAGCCCCAGAAGACGAAGGCAAATGCTGCTGGAACAAACCCACAAACCTCTTATGATCAAGTAAAATCTGACCATCAGATTCCTGCATCTGGTTAATCTTCCTCTTCATGTTTGTCGCATAGATATGTGCGAGCTTATGCAACTGTTTATTCTCCTACTTGAGCCCTCTAATCTCCTGTTTGAGACTCATCACTTCAGCCGCCAATGATTCAACTTGACGGGTTCGAGCAAATAGGAGTTGGGCCATATTAGACACAGAACCTGCACACTGCACACTGAGAGCCAGAGAATCCTTAACAGCCAACTCATCAGACCGTTTGGAAAGTAGTCTGTTATCTCTGGGAGTGACAAGGTTTCGGGCCACTATCGCAGCGGTCATATCATTCTTCACCACTGAATCCCCAACGGTAAGAGGACTAGTAGGGGATATGAAGGATGGGCGCCATATGTTATCTGGAGAAGACGGGACTACCTCTTCACCAAGGTTCAAATCAAAACGACGGTCGGAGGGTCCAGACATTTTCAAAGGTGTTGAAGAAAGAAGAGGTCGGACAAATCAAGATCTTAGAAATGCAAGAAGGGAGTTTCTACAAGCGAAAATTCAAGTGTGCTTTGAAACGAACTGCGTGCCTCTATAAAGATCAACACTCGACGGGATTTCAAAGATCGAAGAGGCGAGCTCAGAATTCGAAGAGGCCAATTCAAAAATCAAAGAGGCAAGCTCAGAAATCGGAGAAGCATCTTGCTTTTCCAGACGCGTTAGCACCCGTCACGCGCAAACTCAGCTTTGCGGAAATCACGGGCAATTTGTTAAAGCGCCAATCCCAGATATCGAAGAGGCGCTAGTCTTTTTTAGCCTCGTCAGCACCCGTCACGCGTAAACTCAGCTTTGCAGAAATCACAGGCAACTTGTCGAAGCGCCGATCCCAGATATCCAAGAGGCGCCAGTCTTTTTCAGCCTCGTCAACACATGTCACATGCACACTCAGCTTGACGAAAATTACGGACAATTTGTCGAAGATTTCTGATAAAGAAGAAAGCACGTGAAGCCATACTGATCAATCACGCATTGGTTGCCAACACGAGTAAAAGAATAGTACCTCTACAGGTACTAAAGAATTTCCTATAACTGTCCACCTTCACCCTCCATAGCAAGGCAGACATACATAACCTTTCTTCATCCGAGAACCTTCCTTCATCTCCGAGAATGCCTTCCCAACGAAGCCTCTTGAGTCACTCAGTGTTTCTTATTCCTTGGGGTACCTCTGCAAACAAATGACACCAAAGAAAAAGTATCTCATATCACCAGGGTAGAAAGCAAGAGTATCTCATATCATGCGTTCTCCCTGTCCTTTCCTTTTTTCCTTGTTCTTACCTACAAAGACAAGGATAAAGAAAACAATATGCCGAAACCTCTACTCAAACTCAGATGCCACATTTGCCTGGAGAACAGATAAGGCAAGTGAAAATGATACCTTGCAGCATGTGGAGACAACGTGCAGAAGAAACAAACAGAGAAGAATGCAGTCTTCACAGTCAGCTCAGCAGAAGGAGTCCGAGCTGAGGAACTCAAGAAGCTGCCACATCTGCCTGAAGAAACAAGCAGAGAAGAATGCAGCCTGCACAGTCAGCTCAGCAGAAGGAGTCTGAGCTGAAGAACTCGAGAAGATGCTACATTCTACCAGAAGAATAGATAAGACAAGGGAAAATGATACATTGAAGCATGTGGAGACAAGCACAACAAAGCACGTGTCGATTCATCCGCTACTTCTTCAAAATCAAAAGTATCTCATATCATCAAGTTTGCAATCACTATGGGTGGAGGACTCGTTTTGACCCTCAAATTCTTGGGTCGACTTGCTAGGCGTTGTGGGCTGCATATGCCGTTTCACCACCCTTGAATCAAGTCCTTAAAGATCAAGTCACCAACTGGAAGAAGAGCCCATCAATCTTGAAGATCATACCGTTGACCAAACTGCTCAGGTGTGAATTAGAAAGATTGAACAAAGCAACAAGTCGTCACCTTCACCTCGTGCCTGCTTGCCATGTGTTCGAGTCAACCTTCAAGAATCAAGCATCAACGGCCCTTGAAGAAGTTTCCGGCCAAATTCAAGATCAAGCCTCGACGGCCCTTGAGGAAATCACAAGTCCGATTCAAGATCAAGCGTCCACCATATTTTGAATCAAATCCAGTTCAAGAATAAGCTGTGGAAAATCAACAATTGGAGGAATCCAAAAAAATCCTCCAACCCAGTTCAAGATCAAAGCTGTGGAAAGTCAACAAAGCGCAAAAACAAATACGTGCCGATTCATCCACTACCAAAGCCAAAGATCATCTACCACATAAAGCTCCTTGTGGTCCAATTTCAACCTTCAAGATTAAGCCTCGACGGCCCTTGAAGAAATTTCAAACAAAGTCCAAGAACAAGCCTCAACGGCCCTTGAAGAAATCTCCAGCCCAATTCAAGATCAAGCCTCGATGGCCCTTGGATTGACAACTACATTAAGGGACTTCAAAACGCATCTCCTACATGTAACAAGCACATGTATACAACGCGCCTTGAAGTGGGGGCATTTGTAGACATTGAAATTTCGGTGGCATAAATGTTAGCCATTGCATTAAGATTACATTTGTAAACATTGAAATTTTGGTGAAATAAATGTTGACCATTGTATTAAAATTACAACCTTCATTCACTTCACCTACATCATACACTAAGTTCACCTACAACATCCACCAAGTTCACCTACAACATCCACCAAGTTTCACCTACAACATCCACCAAAATTCACCTACAACATCCACCAAAACAAATGGATGATGGTGATTCGTTCCCAAAGCCTATAAATAGGCTCCTCCATCAAAGAATCAAGAAACCAATTCACAAATACATTTCTCTACTCCCAAATTGGAAGAGAATCCCCCAAATCTTTGAAGCTTTGAAACCAATTCACAAATACATTTCTTTACTCCCAAAATGGAAGAGAATACTCCCCACATATCCAAAATCCTTGAAGCTTTGAAACTCTAAAGCTCTCAAGCAAATCCCGAAGGATCAAGAAAGCCCTCTTCGTTCTTCATCAAATCCTCCTTCAAGGTCAAGCCCCAACGGCCCTTGAAGAACTTCCACCAATTCAAGATCAAGTCTCGACGGCCCTTGAAGAAAGTGTTCATCGTTCATCATCCGTTCATCCTAAGATCAAGCCCCAACGGCCCTTTGGATCAACAACATCAACAAATCCACACATCCGTTCATCCTAAGATCAAGCCCCAACGGCCCTTTGGATCAACAACATCAATAAATCCACACAACTGTTCATCCCAAGATCAAGCCCCAACGGCCCTTGGATCAACAATCATCCATCTTCAAGATCAAGCCCAAAAGCCCTTGAATATCCGTTCATCACTATTCTTCAATATCAAGCCCAAAAGCCCTTGAAGATCCGTTCATCACCGTTATTCAAGATCAAGCCTCAACGGCCCTTGAAGAAACACTCATCCTCAAGATCAAGCCCCAACGGCTCCTTGAAGATCCGCTCAAATCCACCTTCAAAGATCAAGCCCACGGCCCCTTGAAGAAACTTCCAACAGTTCATCCAAGATCAAGCCTCGATGGCCTTGGATCAATCGCACATCTACAAATACATATCTTACGGAGATCGAATCAGATGATCAAATTTGAGAGAGATTGTAACCCAAAATCATCAAACACAAATATTATTTTGTGCACGTTGTTCTTGTCTCTTTCGTTTCAGGAATTTTCTGTGTTCACAGTTCAATTTGTGTTTAAATTTTGATTATGTTATTAAATTGAAGAGGTTGAGAAAAAAAAGGGTTTAACTTGGTCGGAGGGCTTACCTAGGCTTGACGTGCCCAATTTTTACTACACTCTTGAAGACGTATTGTTCGAAGAGGTTGAGAAAAAAAAAAAGGTTTAACTTGGTCGGTACATCGGCCTAATAATTTTTTTGGGTTTTCTCCTTATAGCTTGATGAACATAATTGGTGCGCTTGGTTTAACTTGGTCGGTACATCGGCCTAATAATATTTTTGGGTTTTCTCCTTATAGCTTGATAAACATAATTGGTGCGCTTTGTGTTTATGCTGCTATATGTAAGAAGGAAGGAAGACCATTGAAGTTTCCCGGTAGAAAAGCGGCTTGGGAGTGTTATGCGGTGGCTTCGGATGCAAATTTGATAGCAGAGCAGCATATATGGGCGGCAGTGGATCCGTATGCGAAAAACGAAGCGTTTAATGTGAACAATGGAGATGTGTTTAAGTGGAAGCATTTTTGGGAGGTGTTGGCTGAGCAGTTTGGGATCGAGGAGTATGGGTTTGATAAGGAGGAGAGTGGTAGGCTGAGGTTGGTCGAGATGATGGAAGGGAAAGTCGGTGTGTGGGAGGAGATTGTGAGGGAGAATGAGCTGCAGCCGACGAAGTTGGAGGAGGTGGCGGTGTGGTGGTTTGCTGACTTTGTGTTGGGTGGGGAGGCTTTGTCGGACAGTATGAATAAGAGCAAAGAGCATGGCTTTTTGGGGTTTAGGAATTCCAAAAAGTCCTTCATTTCGTGGATTAAGAAGATGAAGGCTTACAAGATTGTTCCATGAAATGTATTATGAGGAAGAAGAGTACCTATAACATCATGCGTATGTAATCACAATAAAAAATGTTATTCTTACTCTTTTTTTTTTGTATTGTCTCTTTACTAGAGATGATACATACATTTGTGTTTTTTTATTATTAATATATTTTATGTCGATTTTATCCGACAGAGAATGCTCTTATTTATTCATTATTAATAAATTCTATGTCGGTTAAATCCAACACAAGTTTTAACAGTTTTAGAGTATTTTCTATCGGTTTTATCCGACAGAGAATGCTCTTATTTATTCATTATTAATATATTTTCTGTTAATTTTAGAGTATTTTCTATTGGAAAATTCATTTCCTGACGCTAGCAACTCTGTCGCTTATTATATATGCCACTGCATCTATTTTCTGTCGAATTTTGTTTAATATCCGACAATAATATACGTTTCTTGTCGGTTATCATAGCGACACTAATAAATGGTTTTGTAGTAGTGAGAGTTATCCTGTAATTTGCTTATCATAATTTAATTGACTGACTGATTTGGGTTATTCTATAGTTCTTTAGTAATAGGAGCAACTAAAATCATGTTATTCAAATTTTTGCTTTTTTTTCAGTCTTCTCAGCAACCAAATGGAGGGTTAGGTATTTTGGAACTATTTATGTGCATTGAATTAGGTAAATTTTTTGTTTTTCGTTCAATTTGAAATCCAAAATAATATAGAAGATAAGAATAATTTTTGTTTTAGGTTTCTTTGTTAGCCTTATAAGGTTATACAATTAAAACACAAACGAAAGAGTGACTACCCTGATTTCAATGGCGGCCATGGAAGTTGAGCACAAAAGTAGCAGAGCACGGCAACACCATGATCTTCTATAAACTCCTAGCCGAATACAACTACTTTATGGGAAGCATTATGTTGTGTGTTCTAGGGCTTATAGGGACCGGTGTTTTTATATAGGCTAAAAGCTAGGGTTTCCATCCATAAAGGAAACCTAAACTTACTTTATTAGCCTCCAAGTCAAGTATCATAATCATATTCAATTAAGGATTCCATCAATCCTATTTCCAATATAAGACACCTTATATAGGACTGATATCTTTAAGAGATCAAATCACAATTAACATTATTCTCCAATATTACATTCCTATTACATGTAGTAGACCACTTAAAGGTTGATTTATATTGGATAAATCCAACATTCTCCCACTTGGTCTACAAAATGTAATATTCACGTTTATACATGAGATTGGAGACTAATGTCACTTTAGTGGCCATGTAAGAGTGATTACATCTCGTCCTTAATGCAATTTCTGTCAAATGCATTTCTTAACATGGAACTAACAAGGTTGTAGGGTAGACACAACCCAGAACCTTCATAATCACACATGCTAAGATCCTCATTCACATGAAACACAAATTATGATCAAGAGATGAAACTTTAAATAAACTTTAAATTAACCAAAATGTCTTACTTTATATCATCTCAGGTCCACTTTATTGTAACTCACAAGTTACACTTTATGCTTCTTCGAAGCCTTAAATATGCCAATGCAGATATCCTTCATCTAATGAAACCACCATAACCTGCAGGTCTGAATACATCTCCAAAACAATCATGCATCACTTTCATTAGATCAGTAATAATACAAACAATGTTTGTAGCCAACGGACACAACTGAAAATACCAAATAGGCACATGTCCAAGTAAAATATCCCAAAAACTTCATAAAACAAATTAATTCAACACTTGTGAGCAAGATGAATTAATATGTTTCTGACACTGATCTATGCACCATACCAGTTACTTTCATAGTGATTTCCAACACCTGCGGGCAAGATGGAAATCCTCACAATTGAGGTAGTACATAAACCATGTCATGCCATTTAATATGCAATTTGATAACAATTTGATATCTTATATATATTTTATCAGATGATTGACTAGCACACGAAAAAATGTGACTTAATGAATCCAACTGGAGATTAAAATGAATACATGGATTCTATACATACCTTATAGGTCATCTGCAACTGTAAGGCATTACTAACACGAAACTCAAACTCCCACTGATCTGCAACATCATTACTTAATTTGCAAATCAATACTTAAATCATACTTTTGAAAATATGCCTTTGGGAGTAGCCTTACTTAGTCAATGAATGCGTATTACCTCAATGAAAGGTACAACTAAGCTTGAAAGCATTCACTGTTGTTACACAAAACATGTATCCAACAACCATCTTATATGTATTAATAAGTCCACATTTATGCTAAGTCCTTATGAGCCCCAAAATAAATGATCAACCAAGAAATCCAAATGATTGCAAGTAATAGAAAATGTACGCATATACCAAGTATCCATTCGTGCAACTTAAACATATTATAGACATTCAAGTAACACAAATTCATGGAAGATAGAATAATGCTTTAATAGATTCATGCAAGTCCACTTAGTGCTCAAAATTTTAGAACAACTCCCACTAAGTTTTCAGAGTTTATACTTGCAAATAAGTTAATGAGTGTGAAGCCCAATTTTCGTTCACTAATTCTCCCACTTGGGCAAACACTCGTTAATATATTCTTTCAAAGATGTTCCTAAAGAAAATTGCTCTATATTTTAGACATAATAAAATAGACATCTCAACCAACATAAAGTTATCTAACAGAATTTCAGCAACGAGTTACACTTACTTTAGAATTAATCATAATTAATTTATAAGCTTGATTGCTACCAAATTTATACTAATCAAAATAGACATACTAATCTTCATAAAATAAAATTATAGAGCCGTTTTGGGTCAAAATAGTAGTCTAAAGTCACGTCTCAAAAAGACCAACACAATCTGCCAGTAAAACTGTCTATACGATCATGGGTTACTAGTAAATTCACCATAATTAACATACATGGCAGAAAATTACGAAAATTCGCAGACACATAGTAGACATTTATCTGTTGAACATATCCAAAATTCAGGTCATTTGGTGACCATTAGACGTGTCATTCATCCGATTTAAATCAAGACACGCAATCTGCCAGAAACAATTATGTGCATCTATCATGAATTTATGCATCCATAACAAATTCAATTTCATATCATTTCAATTTCAATGTCCAAAGGAAACTTTAGTAGTCAAATTTCATCCTCTAAACAGACATCATAGTTCAAATTGAAAACATTTACAAGCATAAGACTTAAACAATGCGTACCTTAGCAATCCTTGATTAACCTTCATGGGTCCAATACTTTGCATCAACTAGTCTCGTAAAGAGATACAAAATACATCATGATGCAACCGATTTCCATGCCTTCAAACCACAACCTTTTATGGGGCTCATTGTGGAAATATTTGTCCCTAATGGCATGGAACTTTATCCCATTTAACTTCATGAAACTAAATTAATTTACACCTGTGGGCAAGAAAATTAACTAGTTTCTAGTACTAGATTTTATGTCACAAAAGTTCCTTCATGAAAAACTTCAACACCTGTAGGCAAGATGAAGGTTTTCACAACTTCTGTGAAATAAAACTCATACTATGCCATCTTAATTAAACTAAAAGAAGTAATCCACACCTGTAGGCAAGAAGATTATCCCTTTTATTCTAATTAAGATGCAAAATTGACCGAAGTAACTCAAAAACACAGTTTCATCGACAACTAAGCCGTTGCAGCTTGCTTAGTTGAAAGGGCACAGTTTCATCGTCAACTAAGCCGTTGCGGCTTGCTTAGTTGAAAGGGCATTGATCAACTCCGCCCTGAAACGATACAAGAAGTCACATGGATTAATTAACTGTAAGTGACAAAATTATGATAACCTGATTCGAGTTTTGAGTCTTGCCAACAAATGGCACTAATTCCTTCATGACTCCCTTTGACATTAAATTAATCTCAAGAAACCTGACAGCATACTTGAAAGAGATTAATCACATATAGAACAAATTTTATTCCACCAAAAGAATGTCAATACTTATCATTATGGAGTCAATTGTTTGAAATAGAAATACTTTATGTAATGCAAAAGAACAATACATTCCTTTAATTTAAAAACTAAATTGCTCAAATGTTTTCTTAAGTCAAACGGGTTCCTTTTCTTTTGTACCTTTCTTTCCGTAATACAAGGCTCCTAAAACATTAGCATCAAAATCGTGCATTAGCCTTGTAAATACCAAATTAAATAAAGGAACTACCAAAATTCTTTTCTTCCAAAAGAAACATCTCCAATACATGCCATACATTAGCCTTGATTAATTTCTTTTCTTCTCCCCTTATGGCACATAAAAATTGATTGATTAAAGCATTGTTTAAATTCTTTAGGCATGGGAAAAACTAATAAACTATATACAAGTTTGAAGACTTATGCTTATCAATTTAGTCACATGCTCTGAATGAAATACATACCTTATGCCTTCATATGTTCACCACTTCTTTATAAACATATTTATAATCACATGACCAACCACAATTCTCAAATAAATAGTTAAAATACAAATGAGAATTGTCACATAATTACTACAAACCTTATTCACTTGTATTATACCCTTATTCTTGTCATTGGATGCTTTCTATCATTCTCAGTCAATCCATAAGTTATGCATTAGTCATGTACAATTAAATGACTATACTGAGATAGGAAAGCAAAATTGTAGACAAAACTAATTTGATTAGTCATGCAAATTCCGCATGGAGTTAATATCATTATAAACTGTACTTGAATTAATCCCCCATCATGCTTAGTATACTGCATTACTAATCAACACATTTGTGTTAGGACAACCCAATCCCTTTAATAAAACATGCCATATGTCCATTTTAGTTATTACCCATGAAAAACAGAGCAATAGACTTACTATTGTACTAATGCCGAAACACCCAGACTATTTGTACAAAATATAGTCTCAAACAATAAAATAATTTATGCATTTTTACATATGCTTCTCCGCATGTTTACCATATACATACCATTTAGATACTGGTGTCATGATAATTTTACACATGCAATGTGAACTTCTAGATACATAATTGGCTTTAGAAAATTACGTATACTTAGCTTGATCAAACAATTGCTAGCACTTATGCAATTGCAATTCATGGCAAACAATATTAGTCCTTATTCAAATGGATAACAAAGGCAATAAAGATTTGG